AAATTAGAAGGAAAGAAAATTTTTATTTTTAAATGAGTCTTATAGCACTTTAAAAATCTTGTTTAACCTCGTAGGCACGATGCGCCATTATAGTGGCTTTCGTACCATCTCTCTGTACGACGATCCACTATAATGGCTTTCGCGAATGTCGTAGATTACACAGCGCCACTGTAGTGGCTCACTCTACTATCTCTCTCGCTCACCGTTTCAATTGAACGATCGTTTTCATATGTTCTGATTCGCACTTTTTTACCTTCACCACGTTTCATAAGAGTATTAACAAATCCCACAAAAGTACATTACATGTAAATAAAAGGTAACCAAGTTTAGACACCATGGGAACACCTTGTACTAATACACGATGTTGTAACATTTTGAAATTACATATTTTGTGAATTTTTAAAAAACGTAAATTATCAAAGTTAAAGTATATCATCTTTGGGAAAAATAATTTAAACAAAAACTTCGTTCCACTGTCACCCCTTTGAAAACAGCATTATCATACATTGGTTTGTAATTCGAACTCTGCTAAGAAGTAGCTTAAAGTTCAGCTGTGCCTAAGAGGTTAAGGTCCAAAAAAGAGTGTCAAATTTTTATCAAAATTTTACCTAATTTTGCATATAATTTTGTTATTCCACTTCATCGTAAAACAGACACTCTCAAATATTGTTACGTAACCATTAACTTCACAAAAATATAAAAAAAAAATTGTGAATACTAATATTAAAACAATGGAAAGTCAATTTTAACGCCACGAATCGATATCCGTGAAATACATTATGAAATCAATACATTGAGAAGGTCCTTTGTTATTCGAGTTAATACGAGATATCGATATTTCCATGGAATATTAAATGGGGACCGATAATTTGTTATTTAGGTAGATATCGAAGAAGAGATAATTCGATATGGTACGTCGTTTGAAGAACAATCAGGTTGGCAGTTATTGTGGTATTAAATGGCATTTCAATAATTAATTGTTTTATCATTATTAATGCCTCAGTACCATAATCAGTTATGAACAATTCATTATCAGTGTCAATCCGATTACTAATGTAGGTTATAAATTATTTATATACTCCGTTTACATTGAATGACAAAAATTGAGGACACGTAGCGAGGTATTATCTCATCTTTAATTATTATGCTGAGCAAATTTGTTTTATCGACTTTTAACTGGGGTGTTTACCTACATTCTATTTTTACGAGTAACAAATAATTTTTTTATAACTTTGAAATTGTTCTTTCGTATGAAATATTTTGTATTAAAATAAATTCTATACTAAAATTATGGATCATACTGTTATATTATACACAGTAATTTTGTTTATATAACTTTTATACTCCATACAAAATTGAACTATAAAAAACTTTACAGCATTACAGATAATAATTAATACGAGATATATTACACTAAAAACTAAAGTTTACCAACGTAACGTCGTTACATTATACCTTCCTCCACTCACGAGTTCATTTAACTGAAGAAAGGGTAGAATTATCCACGTAATGAAGTTAATCAGACCGCCATTAATATATCATTAAAATCAGATCTTGCAATTAAATCGCGGATAAAAGTTACTAATTGCAAGTCGGAAAAATATACCGATCAAATCAGTGAATTACAAAGAATATTTCCCCGATTCCCGCTGCCTCAACGTCACGTTAAAATTCGCGAATAATTAATTAAAATTCCTATTGTCTAATAATTGTTCGCAAGGATATGTTACAGATTCGAATGTATTTACAGTTTCTCCTCGATTTTTCTTTCTCGATTAAAAGATATTCGCATTCACGAGTGCTCGAACGTTTGATCGATTGGGATACAGCGTGTTCCTGTATACACTGATTATCGTAGAACTTACGTCGCTAAACACGTTCAAAGGACAGGGTTTCCGTCTAACTTTTATACATTTTAGTCCCACGTTTAGGCGACGCACGAGCTCGCCAATAAAAATAATCGTTCTTTATGTACACTTGAAAATCGAGCAAATTCATTCATGTTACTTCGTAAACGTTTCACGTTCATTTACTATAAATTCCGCTTCGCGTATTTGTATGAATAAATCTTGTTTGAATATTAATTATTCGACTGGATGTTCCGAGTATATGTTTTTACACCGTATTTTCTGCCCCGAAGCAAAATAATGTCAGCGAAAATCAGAAGCATCATTCTATCATCCATATTTTATGCACTTTACGCATTACAAATGTGTTATATTAAATTTTTCGCATGCAGATTACGCAAAGTTTACCGTTGTTCGTTTTGTATACATTTGCATTTGTTATGAAAACATAAATATTCACAATATCGTAACTATATGCATATAGCAGAAAAAAGACCTGAAAGGGTTGTTTTCGTTGAAAAACACGCATCGAAAAAAAGAACAAAATTTATGCAAAAATATGGTACGAAACCCTGTTAATTAAAATTCATTAACATTAATAGGCCTCGTTACGAAATTAAACCTAAAAGAAACTCACAAAAATATTTTGTTTCTCAATTTTTCGCGCAACGTTATTTTTATTGGCGACTCGTTAACGTCCGAAATCAAACAACCATCTAAATACAGTACCAAGAAATACCTTTACTTCACTTACATTTTCTTTATTCGCTTACTTACGTATGTACACATCGCATGCACGTCTATGTAAACCAGGTCTGGTCGATCTGTGCCCTCTGATTCGCCGGGCAGAGGGCGATCACGTGAAATCAACCCTTAACTAATCAACTAACGTTCGAAAACCCAATTGCTATTGTGAACGAACATCTGCCTATTTCGAACTTAAAATTCAAGTTTATTGTCAATTTTATATTTTTACCTAAAATTCTATTTCAATATTCTGTTACGAGTGATATAAACGATTGCTGTGTACATAATTTTGTTATATATATAACATTTTATTATTTTATAATGACATTTTATTATTACATAACATTTTACAAATGTTTATTGAAGTATACATTTAAGGAGTTCGTATCAAGGGGCTAAAATGTTCTGTTAAATTGTCTTATCACGTGATTATTGCCTTCTAAACGTCCCCCTGCCCTAGGGGCAGACAGCTGGCCAGACCTGATATAGACACTCTTATCATTTACGAATATCAAAAGGGTCCGCCTGATCCTGCTTCATTTCGCGAAATTTCATCCCTCGCCCGTTTCTTGTGGCGTCCCCCTGGGCGACAGAGGGTCTTCGACGTAGTTTAAATAGATCCACGAGGGTGTTCGCAGAAAATAGAGTAAATTTCCGGGACGACGCAGTCGAAAGTGATTACGGAGCAAAGGGAAATTTTCTTCTCGTTTATGGGGTCAACGAACCGGACAATATGAACAAAGTAATCCTATCGATCCGATGTAACTTCATTAGCGCTCTGAACATCGCTGGACGTGGAGAATTGAACGTAATTTACACTCGGTACTCTGCGCTTACGGCAGAATTTCTCGGAGTATTCGACCGTTACGTCGTTGACTTTTGCAATTAAAAAATGAAATTACCGATAAGGAGATTTTAGAGTGCCTTTGAGGAATATGGACAAATATTTCATTTACTCTTCAGGAATTTTTACGTTTAAATTTTATGGAAATTTTTATGTTACGTTGTTAGTTTATGTTGTGTAATATGAAATTTTTATTTTAGCAAATTTAAACTTGCAAATCTTGAGAAGTCTTCTAATCAAGTATCAAAATTGTAAGTACACAAATTTCCAAATTTTCAATTCAAATTAAATTCACACAAGGATATTTTACTATAATTATTTTATTATAAGGTTATAATACTACTTGAAAAAAGTATTTGATCAGCAAGTATATGATTAATAAGTGAAACTCGATTTTAACAAAATGTACAACATGACATCCAGCTAATTTTCATCAAATTCGTAGATTCGAGGGACAGCAACAGAAACGTTCGATATGATACATTAAACTCGGTACATTTTCAGAGTCAAACTTCTTCCGAGGAGGAAGTTCCGTGGCAAGGAAGTTCATCGAGTTCAATTTACTTTCTCATCTACTTTTTGATTGCGCGACGTCTTCCTTCTTGTTCAACTTTCCACTTCAAACGAAACGAGCGAAATATTATTCTGCATGCTACTTTGATTTACTCTGATGGTAACGCAGATAGCCGGAATTAAATCATTAATTTGACTTTAAACGTGCTCGCTTGTATCTCACAAAATATACAATAAAGTGAATGTTAATTGGACAGAATTGTTGGTAGAATTTCTTTGTGTAATAAAACATAACATGATTAAATTCGTGGAAATATGAGTAAATTCATTTGTACTGGTAAGCACGCGAATGAAAGCAAAACCATGAGTACTAAAGGCAACAGGTACCGTCGAAAATATTACTAAAATATAAAATATCAAGGGAAATATTGAAACAAATATCGTAGGACATTAACACTTTAATGGCCGCACGTCTACGAAAATGTCGTCAGGGGTCGGCAACGTTTTTGAAGAATTAATTTTAACAAACTTGATGTGAATTCCCGAAATAATTCAACATGTGTATATACACATAAACAACAACAACAACTTGATAACAAATTTAATAATATACAAGCAATTTAAATACGGTAGCTTTTTTAAAAATTAAAAATTAACTAGTCTAACCTAGGAAGATAATTAATGATCTAATACTGACAAGACTCCAGATAAAACGTATCTAAACGAGTACGTGAATAAACGTATCAAAAAGAGTACATATGAAGACATACATATGTATGAAGAAGACATGTGTTAAAAGTTAGAATAAATGTGGAAAAATGGGCGATAGAAAAGAAACGACTAAATTTCCCTTCGCTCGTGAATCAACCCGAAAGATCGACGAGAAACCGTTTTCATCGTGACCTTAATTCCCGCACGATCGGTGCATGAATCGTTCGAAAACGATTTCGTACCTCGCAGTCTCGTCCCCCGATGAGTAGCGACGATGCTGATGGATCAACCGGTACGAAGAAAGTGCGATCTAGTCTCGACCTGGTGATCGTCGTTCACTACCCGTGGTGATAGTAGATCTTGCCCTTGCAATTGCACGTAGCACCGCAGAATTTCCGTCGTTCTCGTCCTTCCTTTGTGTTCGTCTCGCAGACCCAAGCGCGAAACGTCCTCACCAGCTCTGCGCAGTTCGACCACAAATCGGTGTAATAGCAAGCGTTCGTGCAAAGCTTGTTACGTGTGCAATGGCCGTTGCACATGCTGCACGGTTTGCCTGCCACATAAGGCTGACCTAGTCGATCTTTGTAGTTGCCGCTGGAAAAGAAAGGAAAATTTCTTCAGCAACATCAAACGTGTTACGATCTTATGGGGGTAATTTTGAGGATATGTGGATGTGCAATATTTGTTTAAGTTTGAAATTGTTTTAGGAAGTTAGGTGATGTTATTTAGTTTGTGAATTTGGTGATTGTGGTTTTGTGGGATTTTGGGAATTATGGTTTTGGAATTTGTTGTTTGAAAATTTGGGGGTTGTTGATTATTTGGATTTTGAAAGTGGAAATTGGGAAGCTATATTTTATGTACTTTGAAGTATTGAACTGTCCAGTATTCCAGATTATTTATTTTTATATTTATAAATATTTTATCAAATTTCTAAATATCCCAATTCGTAAAATTTCAAACTCCAACACTTCCAAATTTCTGAACTCCAACATTTCTAAATTTTTAAATCCACATATCCCTAAATTCCTCAATTTCTAAATTTGAGAATTATTAAAATTCGAAAATGACTAAAATATTAAAAAAATTTCGCAAATGCTACATTTCCAACTTGTCCATTTCTCTATTCTTAGATTCTCAAATTCACACTCAAATACACTTCAAAATTCCTAAACACCTCAATTCCCATATTTCCGAATTTCCGAACTTCCAACTCCAGCAATTATACACCGCTGATTCATATTTGCCACCAACTAAACGTGTAATAACTACACTGCAAACATTTATGTATTTATGATGCATGTTAATCTACCAAATAAACATACATGTAATCTGTATTCTGCGAATCTCACATAAAATATATGATTTATTTATGCCTTGCAGACCTCGACACATTATGAATGCATACACACACGCAGTCAAGTTATCACATATTATTAAACATACTAATTGTCAGTGTTATATAATACATTAATTATCAACATCTTTTGTCGTTTAATTATTTCTCTTATCATTTTGTTTCCTGTATTTTACATTTGTTTTTTGGTTTCGAATTTTCCTGTATATATTGTTATAATTCCTGTATAATTCCTGTATATATATTGTTATTAATTAATGGACCACACTCCCCTATGTCCTCTACATGAAGAGGACATAGGGGAGTGTGGTCCATTAATTAAATAAACATGAGACATTCAAAATTTAATAAAAGTTTGACAAGGTTGGTATTAAACATCCCCTAAAACAGTAAATTTTTCTTGCATTTATTCTTCCCTCTCAACTATCCCCAATATTATAATCTGCATAATAAACCGCATTAAATAAACTTCCAAATGAAAGAGCACATCATAATAAAAAGTTAACAAACACACATTAAACATGTAGAATAATAAATTTTTGTCCAACCATTTCCTCAACCCTTTGAAAGTAAAGAGTATATAACACAGAAGGAACAAGTGAAATGTACAAAGTAAATTCAGGAACGGAAGAAAATAAACACGCGAGAAAAGAGGGTGGAATTAACAGTGAATTTCGCGTAAAACCATTGCGCGAATATTTCTAATCTAATTGCTGTTCTTTAGCCGCAGGTAGGAAAAACGTTTAGAGAAAACAGAGCGAATTGCGGAAAATGTTACGCGTTTTTCCTCTCGTACGCTTTGTCGCGACAAGCGAGCGAGTGTTGCTTTTTGCAGAGGACAAGCACGTTCTTCCTTGACTTCGCTTGACATCTGACCTACTTCGTTCATTTTCTAGCAGTTCGCGCGTGTGGATGCTTTTTCTGGACGGTCTATATATCTCTTGATGATTACTTCTCTCGCTGTAAAACACCGAGATAACTGACGTTTAATGTTTCCGACGAGTTTCTTTGATTTTGAGAAAAAATGATCGATGGAGGAAGATGAATCGGCGGGGAATCAAGGTTATGGTACGAGGGTAATGAACAAGTTGTATACAAAATTCTTTCGTTTGTTTTCTTATTTTCTAATTTTGGTTTTTATATTTTAGGTTTATAGTATGCTAATTAACTAATTAGCTGACTTTTTTATTTTCTAGGTAGTTAATTATCTGAAGTTTTAATTTTTAAATTGATTAAAAACTTTTTTCCAAATTCAAATTTTTTAATTATGAGAGTGGCAAATTTTGGAACTTTCAGGTCCTCGAATTTTTACACATTTTCAACTACTTAAATTCCAAAATTCAAAAATTTCCAAACTCTAGGATTCCCAAATTCAAAAATTTTCAAATTCCAAGAGTCCCAAATTCTAAAATTTCTAAATTCTAAAATTTTCAAATTCCAAGTTTCCCAAATTTCCAAATTCCAAGATTCCCAAATTCTAAAATTTCTAAATTCCAAAATTTCCAAATTCCAAAATTTCCAGTCCAAAATTTCCAAATTCCAAGATTCCCAAATTCTAAAATTTCCAAATTCCAAAATTTTCAAATTCCAAGATTCCCAAATTCTAAAAATTCCAAAATTTTCAAATTCCAAGATTCCCAAATTCCTAGATTCCCAAATTCCAAGATTCCCAAATTCCAAGATTCCCAAATTCCAAAATTTCCAAAGTACAATATTTCCAAAGTACAAAATTTCCAAAGTACAAAATTTCCAAAGTACAAAATTTCCAAAGTACAAAATTTCCAAATTCCAAGATTCCTAAATTCCAAAATTTCCAAATTCCAAGATTCCCAAATTCCAAGATTCCCAAATTCCAAAATTTTCAAATTCCAAGATTCCCAAATTCTAAAAATTCCAAAATTTTCAAATTCCAAGATTCCCAAATTCCTAGATTCCCAAATTCCAAGATTCCCAAATTCCAAAATTTCCAAATTCCAAAATTTCCAAAGTACAAAATTTCTAAATTCCAAGATTCCCAAATTCTAAAATTTCCAAATTCCAAAAGTTCCTAATTGCTAAATTCCTGAATTTCTGAATTCCTAAATTCCCAAATTTCTAAACCCCAAAATTCCCAATTTTCCAACCCCCCAAATTCCCAAAATTTCCAATTTTCCACCCCCCCAAATTCCCAAATTTCCAAACCCCAAAATTCCTGCATCCCAAATAAATAAACTTCCTTACAAAATCCCTAATTCCTCAATCCCACATTCCCAAAACCACCAAAGCTCCAAACCATCCTCTCCCAACAAAGAAATTTCAATCCCCGAAACATCCTCACAACATAAAAGAACGCAACGCCAGTCTAAAAGAGTAGAATAAAACGACGATCATTTATTATACAGACTAAAACGGACCGTGTTGAATCAAAGAGACGAGAATTGAATTCGTCTTTGATTTTCATCCCGAATAAAATAATCCTTGAGTTCTATTATTTCTCAACGATGGAATTACCTTTGTAACGTGGTATCGTTCCTCCCTTTAAGGAACTCTTGTAGAAGAATTAATTGGAGAATGGAGCTGAACCGTAGGAGAATACGCGAAGAGTTAATCAGTTTCACAGTGGTCGAGATTTCGCGAATGATGTTTCGTAAAATTCTACAAAGTTGGTAATGGCATTATTATACTACGGGTGCTGCCGGCATTATGAACTTTACGATAAAAGCAGCCCGGTGAGCCATACTTTAACAATGCTATTTAACGTTATCACAATTTAATTATTTCCTTTGTACACAATTACAATTTTTCTAATCCACCCTTCTTTGTAATTTCATAAAATGGATTCAATTATTACGATTGAAATTCGATGCTGAAATTTGTATGAACGTTCAATTTTTATGCAAATTCGAGTCAATATGATTTCATTTACGCTTTTAATTAATCTGTGTCGAAATGATCGTTGATAAAATATCGTGGATACATTGCTCGTTTTTGTAGCGTTTAATAATGTGTCGGAGATAATACCTTTTCAGTCGTTTGAACGAGTATTTCACAAATTAAATGAAATTAATAGAGTTTTAAAATTAACTATAAATCTACTGAAATATAACTTGAAAAATTACTTGTATTTTTACTGAAAAATAACTTGTTAAAATAAACACATTGGGACGCTGTAGAAATGAGAGCAATTGAATTCAAATTACTGATTCATTATTAATTCTTATGATCTCCGGTTTAAATAACAGTTAAATAATAAATATTTCGTTGAATAAATCAATCTAATTCATTAAGTCGACTAAATTAGATTAAACTTGGAATTTTCAATAAACAAACACGTGTAACATGCTGTGAAATAAAGCAACGCTGTGCAACATTGCGAAGCAACTATAAAACCGATGGAATATGAAAACAATGAAAATATGAACAATTAAAAGTCTCTCGGATATGCGTATCGAAAATAATCGAAACAATAAGTAACTAAAATGTACGAGCGAGCGTAATATGCGCACAAAGTATGTCGTCCGTAGAAACAGTCGAATGCAACGAAATGTTTAGTTCCTGCAGAATTAAACGGACCCTGAAGAAACGCTTCCAGGGTCGTTCATCCTTTTAACTCGCAACGAAACGCTCGAGTTACGCTCGATTCTCCTTTCCAGCAACGTTTAATTCCTCTAATTCGAAATCCTTGACCCGCGAGCGAATAATAAATAAAGCACGTCACGCGGTCTTTCTCCGCCATATTTTTTCCAGCCCCGTTCACAGTGGTTGTGCGGGTGGGCGAGCGCGACGCAATCTCGTAATTAATTTTCGCGGTGGATCATTTGAATTCGCGAGTAAAAATGCAAATTAATCGGCCGTTTTCGAGATTAGCCTCCGACGGAAGAGTCGAGATCTTTGGAAGTCTCGACACTTCGACTCGCAGCTTGGACAACTTAATTGTCTGAAAGTTCGAAGCTTCAGAGAAACCAACCGGCTAAATGCAAGGTTATTAGAGGGTATTTTGCAACGAGTTGCCCTGCGAGATTCATGGCGAAGAAAGCTGAGGCTTGGAGCATAATTTGTACGAAGTTTCAGCAGGAACGGTTACAAATGATGCGAAATAGAACTTTGACAATTCCGATACACGAGTTTTGGGCAATTAGGTTAGACACATATATTACAGAGTATTACTGTTATGTGTATGCAATTGTATAGTTGCAAATGCAGAGTTAATTGAATAATCCAATGTTTAGCTGTACTCCTTAATATAATAGCGTTTTATGGAGAACCCGCGTTTGCGATAAACTGAAACGTGGATGATAATTGAAGTCAGCAAAAGTGAACTGATTAGTTCGATTATTAGCAGAACGATCATGAACGTCATTTGAACAAAGAACGACTTGAAAATTTATGATATTTCATTTAAGCTGAATATTTAAATTATTTTTATTCCTATGGAAGGTAAAAAGAAATGACTGACAGAAACTTAAACTATTTCATTGCCAATAAACGAACCTTTAAAAACCATGTAAACTACCACCACTCTTTGTTTCTATTTTTAACAACAGGAATTAGCATAATATAAGAGAACATGTACCTTTTGAAACCATGTGAACTACCACCACTCTTTATTTTTATTTTTAACAGCAGAAATTAGCATAATATAAGAGACCATGATAATTTCCATTCAAAGAAAAGTTCTAGCTTATGACAAAATTCTGAAACAATAATTCAGAAAATACTTTGTACAACTTCAAGTATTTAAGTACCCAAAATTTTCTTAGCCATAAAATTCTATCGATCTTGAATTCGAGCCAGAGATCCCGGAAGCTCTAAAAATTCCCACGAAATAGTCTAATATACATGCCGAACGATTTACGGAGGCAGCTTTATGGGACATTCGTTCACCTTCGTATATCAAATCCATTGAAAAGATCTATTGTCCTGTGACCGGTATTCTGGGACTTGTTCCGTTGCTTTATCGCGACTCGTTTCCGTTTCTATTCTCGATTTCCTGTTTCTTGCCCACCGTCTCTCTTGCGCCACATCTCTTTATTCACTGTGTCCGTTCTACGATTCTTTCTACCTTCGCGACTCTTTACCCTTCAAAGGATCTTTTCAATCTTCTATTCTGCGATTTTTACCCATGATCACTCTAATTGCACGCTTCTGTTCCTTCGATTCGATGCTCGTTTTTTTGTCGTTTTATCTCTCAACCTTTCATAATCGTCCGGCTGCTTTACTCCAATTAGTCCGCTTCATCGTTCGTTCCCCTTTGCTCTTCTATTCCGTCTGATTCATTTCAGTATTTATTTTTCATTCCTCGTCCGTCGTCGAGCTATTCTACATCCGTCGATTTTTTCAGTTTTGGATCTTTTCTCTGTTTGCGTTGGGAAACGAACCCTTTCGTTACACTTTTTTCCACCATTCTTTAAACCTTTCTGCTCTCTAAATGTTTCTTCTTTCATTGTTCTCGTCCTGTTCTTAGTTTCGATGAAGCGTTCGCTGTTTGGATTTCTGTTTCAATTCTATATTTTCTGATATTCGCTACTTAAAGACATATTATTTCTTAGGCGAATATTTTAAACTTTGCTCGTACAATCATGTCAATTTTTGTGTTGCAAGATTAATTATTCATCGATACAAAAATATGAAAGGTTCTGCTATAAAATTATCTAAGAAGAAATTGAATAAAATCCAAGGTAAAAATAAATATTCTATTACAAAATTATCTAAAAAGAAATTGAATAAAATCTCAGGTAAAAATAAATTTTCTACTACAAAATTATCTAAGAAGAAATTGAATAAAATACCAGGTTAAAATAAATTTTCTACTATAAAATTATCTAAGAAGAAATTGAATAAAATCCCAGGTAAAAATAAATATTCTACTACAAAATTATCTAAGAAGAAATTGAATAAAATCCAAGGTAAAAATAAATTTTCTACTACAAAATTATCTAAAAAGAAATTGTATAAAATTCAAGGTAAAAATAAATTTTCTACTACAAAATTATCTAAGAAGAAATGGAATAAAATCCAAGGTAAAAATAAATCACTGTTTATTATAATAATTCTAGTGTGATCCAGTTATCCACAGAAATTTATTAATATTGCATTTAACCGTCATCTCTATTTATCTTTTCCGAGCGACGTCGCCTAATATTTCGCAGCCGCGATACCGACATCGCAGAGAAAAAGAAAAAAATACGAGCCAAGAGAATTTAAATTACGCGCCACCTACCTCAGCGAACACGCCTCGAGTGCCCCCATAAATTTGTTTCTTGGCCGCAATTTTCCGGATTATGCACGCGGCCTTCCGGCTCGTGCACGCGATACACGCGGGGAAACTTTTCGATTACAATGAGCTGCTTGCATAAATTTCTGTCAGCCATCCGAGAAAAACTAGCGACGTGGTGTGATAATTTCCTCTGTTATTTCGGATCAGTGTTGTGAAGCGGGCCGCGCTTCTTCGCGCATGCGCAGTGAAGGTAGCGTCAGTGAAACAATTGCGTGGGTAAGAACGTGACGCTGATCGTTCGTGCATAATTTTGTAAAATTTGTGTGATTGAAGAAAGAATATGGAAGAGAAAGTGTATGCCTGTGTGTGTGCATCTGTAAGTAATAACAATAAATCATCAGATCTTTGTAATTTACGCAATTTATCGTGAATTTGTTTGGTTAAAATTTTCGCGTTTGTAGCATAACCCCGGTTGAACTTCACGGCGGCGCATGCGCAGAGAACACGACATATGTCAAGCACCGCTTCGGTCAGAATGCAACGATGTACGTTTCGCTGTTTAAACATCTAAAAGATTTGTGAAGCTGCATGGAGATTTCAACGAGCGGTGGATTATCGTCGAGAGGAGAATATTGAACAAGATTTTACAAAATCCTTTTCTTCAACGTTTAAACTTCAAACTGGTAAGTCGTATCATTTTGTACTTTTTCTGCATGACGTCACAATTCATATCGGTTAAAATGGAGCCACCATTATTTGCAACCGGGTATTTTATAATATATCGAAGATGTTGGTGCATGATTTATTTGCATTTCTATCGAATTGCGAATATCATTTTTATCGAATTGATATGTCATTGATTGATACTGCTCATTGATGATATATGATTAATACTGTTTTATGATAATTTCGTGTTGTCAAATTACACAACGAATGCGCCATTTTGTATGCAATAATTTGATTCGTTCAAATTCAAAAGCTTATTTGCTTAAAATAAGAAATAGGTTACTAGTGTAATACAAAAATAGGAAAAAGTTGTTTTCTTAAATAAAATGATGAGATATGATTTTTTATTCGCAATGTAATTCAACGAAATTACGAGTAAGGATCATTATGACACCAACGCGACCGCTTTTAAGTATAAATTTTACAACCGTACATTTAGCAACCGCGTAAGACAAAGTTTAACATCTGGCGAAAAAGCAAACAACGATATAATAGAGTTCACGGTTTGTTCTTGAAACCCGTGTCTGTTTTAACGTGGTTTACTCACCTCGGGGCATAGTTGCACACGTACATGAAGAAGTCCTTTCCAAGGGGCCCTCTACTTCCGGTACAGTGGCTTACACCACAGCCCACCATGTGTGTGCTGGCCCATGCTATTTGAGTATAGTGACCTATCTCGTGAAGATCGTTCGCTTTGTTGTCGCCATATTTGAAGTCTTTATACTCCATGAACCACATTCTGATCGCGAAATTCCTGAAACGAGAAAATTTAACAGTAATTAAACTATTCTTGAGATGCGTTTAAATTAATTAGTAGAGGATTTATTTCTAGTTGAGTAGGCAGGATTATTCTGTATAGTAGAGCCATGTCTGCGATATAGTAATTTATTCTACTTGTAACTGACCGGTTTATTCTCTACTTTTAAGATATATCCAAGATTGCGAAATCTCTAGATTTCCGAATTCTCTCATTTTCTAAATTTGACAATCCCTAGATCTCCGATATTTTCAAATTCTCAACATTAAAAATTCCCTAGATTTTTGAAATTTTCAAATTTCCTATATTTCCGACTATCTGAATTTTCAAATTGCAAAACTTTTCAAATCCCCATTTTTTGTAATTCCCCAAATTTTTCACATTTTCAAATACCCAACATCTAAAATTCTCTAGACTTCTGACATTCACAAATTCCCTATATTTCCGACTCTCCGAATTCTTAAATTGCAAAAATTCTCAAAACCCCAATTTTTGAAATTTCCCAAATTTTCCACATTCTCAAATATCCAACATCTAAAATTCCCTAGATCCCCTATACTTTTCCTTCAACAACTCAAACCCTTTCACTGCATTTAATTACGTAGACATCTGAAGTACCAACATTAAAAGTCTTCCCAATTCAAAATGACCTAACGAAGTCAGTTAAAAGCACGACAATTCGCTTCTATCGGAACCGCTTGTAACGAATGAAAGAGACATCGCGAAGTGACGTTGACAATTGTTCAATGAACGTCAACAGGTGGCTCCCTAAAGAGAGGAACGAGTACAAAAGTAAATTATCGTTAAGAAGAAACAGAACAATAACGATTGAATTGGAACTTCGTTCTGGCCCGAGTTTTCGTGTTCGAACAACAAGTATTTGAACCGGGAAGAAGTTCATTGAAACTTACCATAGGGTTTGTCCCGTTGTGATGAAAATGTTTTGTCCGCTCTGTCCAAAACCATCCAAATATAGGCCGGTTGCGTTGTCGTGGACCAATCCCAGACATCGGTTTGCCCATCTTTGGGCTGCTTTCGCCAAACCTGGATGCCATTTCTGCAACAAATATTTTGTTGCATTCTCCCGGAATAATTTGTTTAGTTTAGTCTAGTCAATTGTTTAGTATAGTGTAGTCAATTGTTTTGTTTAGTGTAGTCAATTGTTTAGTTTATTCAGATTTAAGTAAAATAGTATATGTTGGGGTTATGTCTGTTCTGAATGTAAAATAACCGTGGTTATTCGTTATGTTGTAAATTGTGTGATATTGTATTGTCATTGCGAAGGTGGCGATAAGTTTATTTGTAGCGGAGAGCGAAGAAAGAGCGAGCAAGATAACATTTGTAAATTTTTGAGAAGCGATGCCTAGCTGGCGATCTCCTTGCGTGTACAGGGGTAGTTCGGCGAACCTGGAGTCGTTCAAGCCACGGCTAGGGAGGTGCTGTATGTATCGCCCTGAGGCTGGTATGACCCTGAGAGGGAGATGACGAATGTCTCCGGTAGTGAGGGACAGTGGACGGAGAACCATTTGGTTTTCTCCGGAACCTTTAGGCTGGTTCAGGAGTAAACCCGCTATGGTAGATAAGGGTAGTATTCGGGAAAAGTCAGAAAGGCCAGGCGTGTTACGAACATTGCTTGGGCGAGGCCCGAATATTCTTTATTAACTTGTTGGTTGTAGAAGTTAGAAGCTATTTTGCTCGCTCTTCCGAGGAATAGATATTACATCGAAAAATCAATTATATTTTCTAACGTTGTATTGTTCGACGATAAATAGTAATAAATTTGCGGTCTATATATATTTTTCTAAATTCAATCTGTGATAATTTTTACAATTTGTATTTAAATGATTTTTGTATATAAAGTAGTAGTACTACTTTATAGTAGTTAACTACTATCTGCTTTTTTTATGCTTGTTAGTTTATCAATTAACGTATTTCTTCATATAATATCGTTATTACTGTTTCATTATTTTAATTACAACAGTTATTATTGTCACTACAACAGTCTCATTGTAATTACTAAATTATTACTGTTTCGACCTACAATTTCGTCAAACGGTTCTAATAATCTCGTTACATAATTTCATTATTACCATGTCATTACAATTATTTCATTACACCAATTTCATTATATTACTTCATCACGACATTTCCATCGCATAATTTTGTCACGACAATTTCAGTATAACAAATTCATTATAATAGTTTCATCACACAATTTATTACAGCAATCGCAGTAACAAATCCACTATAATAGTTTCGTTATATAATTCCATTATAACAATTTCATTGAAACTGTTTCGTTATATAATTTAATTAGAATGAAGTTCATTGTAATAATTAATATTTAATGCCATATTTAATAAAGGAGATGGAAATGTGGATTAAAATTTACTCATAAGTGGTTTTGTTTTGTAGAGAAAATTAACTGAATATGTACTTCTTCATCATATTACTTCGTAACATACAGTCGGAATTATTTTCTTCTATAAATTGAAGACAATATAATTTTTCAAATAATGGAAATATCACTGTATTTCTAAAATATTATATAATATTTCTCTGTAAAACTGAGTCATTCTGTAATAATTTACAGAAGAATTAAATTACATAAAATATTATATATTTTATATGATTATGTAATAAAATATTAATTTCATATATATGTATGGTCTCATTCTGTATAGTTCATGAAAGAATACCTTGAACATTTGAATTTGCATATTTTATTAATATCAGAAATTTTAATTAAATGTATTAAGCAATAATCACTGAGGTGAAACGTTTCGCATAAAGATCACGAATACAAGTCGTAAAAGTGTTATGTAACCGTAAAATGAGTAGATAATGAACGTAAAAGTGAGCACGAAAGATACGAGTATGTAGATAGAAGTTTACATGTTAATGGGTTAAAATAGTAGAATATCCGGAACACGATTTTCCCTTCAACGTGTCAGACGATATTGATCAATCTCAAACTGAATATTCGTTCTTTTGCTTTCACCATCTAGCCGTCAACTTCGTTATTTATGGCCAGGAAAACTTCCACTTCTAATTAGAACGGAAAGGTTCTTTCAGCTTCTCGCTAGCGACTGACATGACGTGAATCCCAAAGAGCAGCAAACTTCAGATTACTATTATGCAAACCTAAGTCTCGACTGCTGAACGTGATTCCATACTTGCGTAAACTTAGCAAATTTTAATAAATAGAAATTTCTAATTAAGCTACTTAACACAGTTTGATGGACGCTGTTGCCTATTCGCGATCGCTAGACTGCGAAAGTTTGCGCATTTATAATATACCGCCGTGTGCTGCGAGTAAGCGAAAAAAGGCACGGGAAAATTCGAAATTAAAGTAGGCAAGAAATATGTGTATTCGGAAATTTAGCGATTACGTTTTCTAATTTTCAGATACATTTTTTATTTTTGATAAAATTTTTCATTTTTAGTTTTTTATTTTTAAACTTATGAGATTTCAAATATTCTAATTTATGGATTTCCAGATCTTCAAGTTTGTATATTTTTTAATTTCTAAAAATGTCTAATTTCATCAAAGATAAAAAAATTAATTTACAAACAAAGAGTTAAAGAATCAACACATACATTGATTTATGTTTCATACAATTTATTTTTATTTCAAAATTATGCATACACGTGATGAGTTTAGTGTTGAAGTCTCCTATTCCTTTTCCATAAAATTCACGAATTTGACAGGAAACTAAAGCTATTCGAAAGCAAAGCGTCTATAATCAATGGCATTCCATTTATTCGACGACTCGTCGTTAATTTTCTCAGTCAATGAGCTCTCAGTATCGTCGTAATGGTCGTGATCCAACTTTACTCGTAAAAATTTATAACCACCTTCGACGTAACGATATCGCGTCTCGTCGTTGAAAGCCTGTTAAGCTCCGCGATGTTGAGCTTCGAGTTCTTCGAGTGGGAATAAGTCTCACTTGTGAATTCGCCAAAACGTTCCCATAAAGATTAAAACAATAAAGAGGGTGAACTCCCCTTGCTAATTCACTTTCTATAAAACCTCGTAGGAGGGCATTTATTAATCCTTTGTGCACGAGAAATTCACACGTTCGCTACGTTTTTTGAAGAGTGTGTTCGACGTATGTGAATATTACATTTTTACGCAACTTTTAATTGTATATTTTTATCCAACTTTTAATTCTATGTTTTCATACCATTTTTAATTCTGTTTTTACAGAATTTTTAATTGTTTCTTCAATGTATAAAGAAAATTTTTCAGAAAGAAAAGTCAAAACATAGGACAAGTGTATTTCTCTCTTAGAACGTGTCCGACCGAATAGGAGCCATTCGAAACAATTCAGCAATCTTCAATAATTTACATCTAGTCAACTTAGAATATTTTATTTAATTACATATTCTTCCTTAAAAGTATACGTGCGCTTTTACCCGCAGTAAAACTTCGAATAGCTGAAATCAGTTTTAATCACTTTTCGCTGGTCGATAAAGACAATTGTTACCGGGCGCAAATTACGCGGACTACTTTATATCGTAGAGATAGGATCCGATAGTTAAATGTTCGTTAAACGTAACGGAGATACCGTTAACGCGTTTAGCTCGCGATGCGCCATAATTATTTCAATTAGATGGACTTAAGACAATTGCACTAATTACGTTGAGCCGAGTGGCTGCGAAACAGCCCACCGCCCACCGAGCCTGATTCGATCTTCCTTGCGAAAGCAATTTAGAGAATTTTTCAGCTGCGCTCGTTTTGCACGCGTAATCAGTTTTACAGAGAACTTGTAAAGCGTTTAGAGTCCCGAGGGAATTTAATTACACTGCGAAGAAACGCGTTTCTTGCTGCCTCTCGCTCGCGAGATGTATCGCGTGAAACGTAACTTCGGAACAAAGTAACATCGCGATTTATGATTTTATCAAATCTTCGTTTTCTGTGTTATTAGCCTCTTAGGCTGAACTACGCTGCTTAACAGAGGTCTCAACCGACTACATTGGAATGAAGTTTTTGTTTAAATTATTTTTCCCAAAGATATGTTATACTTTAACTTTGATAATTTACTTTTTCGAAAATTCACAAAATAAGTAATTTCTAAATGTTACAATATCGTGTATTAGTGCAAGGTGTTCCCATGGTGCCTAAACTTGGTTACCTTTTATTTACATGTAATGTACTTTTGTGGGATTTGTTAATATTCTTATGAAACGTGGTGAAGGCAAAAAAGTGCGAATCAGAACATATGAAAACGATCGTTCAATTGAAACGGTGAGCGAGGGAGCTAGTAGAGGGACCCACTATAGTGGCGCTGTGTAATCTACGACATTCGCGAAAGCCACTATAGTGGACCGTCGTACAGAGAGATGGTACGAAAGCTACTATAATGGCGCGTCGTGCCTAACAGGTTAAACAAGATTTTTAAAGTGCTATAAGACTCGTTCAAAAAGTAAAAATTTGCTTTCCTTCTAATTTAAAAACGCATAATAATCTTTGTACAATATACATACATCTTAATGCACCCATATTCAGAAATAAATTGATTAACTCCATTCCAAATTTCAATTTTATTAACCAAATTGTTGAACCTCTGCATAAAAAACCGGGTTTCAAACGTTTAAATAATGTCGGGGAATATTTTCTGAGCGATTTCTGCTGTTTCAACGAAACAAGGTCCATCATCATTCATCGTATCGTACAAAAACTTTGTCCTCGAAATCAAATGGAAACGAAACAATGAATCTACATGCGTTCATGAGTGTTCAAAAGCAACGAGGAAATGCAGAATATCGAGAGTTTCTCCGAATCTCTTATCAAAACATATAAATCAAAATATACGAAAAGATCATTCAGTTGAAACGGTGAGAGATCAAGTAGAGTAAGTCACTATAGTGGCGCTGTGTAATTTACGACATTCGCGAAAGCTATTATTATGACGCATTGTACCTAAGAGGTTACACTTGGCTTGTAACATCCTGTCAGACTCGTGATGCACGTTACAGTTCAAATATGATAAACTCAAATTTGCATGAAGTTTGTGTTCGTTACCAATTGTAACTTGTATAATTGAAGATCGT